TCGAGTGACATCGTCAGGTTTGCTTAGTTTGGTCGAGAACCGATTTTCGGTCGTAATCCGAGGCATAAAAAACTCGAAATTTTTGGTCGAAAACCGATTTGGTCCAGAACAGAGACGTTCGAAAACCAAGGTTTGACTGTACATACAGTATGTACTGTAGTTTCTGCACTATGTGTCACGGCTGATTTGTTTGGGACCAACAGGTGGCGATGTAGGGCTCTTCCTACAGCGGTACACCTGTTGGTCATCATGTCATTAGTCGGTTTTTTTTTTTTTTTTTGTTCAAAGGACTCTCGGCCCGACCACTTGGTGTCGGGTCATTGTTGTGTTTCTGTTGCTGTCGCTGCTTCCGTTGTTTTGTGTTTACCACATTCCAGCAGCTCCTATATTTTGTTGTTCTACTTCTTCCATTCATAACTTTGCTGCTGTGAATTGGGAATTTCTCCATTGCGAGACTAATAAAGGTTTTCTTATCTTATCTTATCATATTTTTTGCTTATGCCATGGGTTTTGTTGTTACTTTGAATTCTTGTTTTTTTCAGGACTTTGATTGTTTTGGATTTGGTTTTCTCAGTGTTTGATTAGTACATTTTGTCAAATTCACCCTGCTCCTCCCTCTTGCCTGTTTTTTAGGGTCCTCCACCACCCCCGCACCGTAACACTATAAGGCGCTCCGCAGTAAAAGGCGCACCTTCAATGAATGGCCTTTTTAAAAACTGTTTTCATCTACAGGGCACACCGCGTTATAAGGCACATAGAATAGAAGCCACAATAGTGGCTACGGTTGCGTTATGCATCCACGCTACGCTAAAGGGAATACAATACAAAATAAGAGCTTTATTTACATGGAGTTTCACAACTGCTGCAGCTGTAACTAGGCGCTTTACAGAAAATTTAACATACTACGTCCAAGATATCAGAATATTGATCCATATATAAGGTGCATCAGATTATAAGGCGCACTGTCGGCTCTTGAGAAAATTGCTTTTAAGTGCGCCTTACAGTGTGGAAAATACGGTAATTAAAGGTGTTTTACATGACATATGCGCGCCCTAATTGTGAACAAACGTGGAAGGAGTCAAGCAGTTTAAAACACAAGGTGAGATTCGTGGAGGTCTTGAGCAAAATGCTGACAAAAACGCACATGACGGTAATTCCAACAATGAGAGGTTTGTATTCTTTAATTCATATTTCCCCTCCTGAAGGCTTTGGTCACATGCACAATCGTTTAACCTTGGAGGCATTCAACTTAAGGCATTCGGCTAATGAGTGTACATGATGGACCAAAACGTGGTTGAGGTTCACAACAACTGAACAAAGGGGACCTCTTATCTACAGTTTGAGTTCCCCATCCTGTGTTCACATTTTGAAATCAATCTACAAAGAGAGGAGTGCCACTCGTAGCTGTATATTTTGAATGTTTTGCCAGGCCAAGACGTCCTAGAAGCCTGAATATAACAGAGGAACAGTTATTTAAGTGCACAGTCAAAAAAGCACCTGCCCTGTTGATTCTAAACAACAGTTTCGTCAATATTGGTTCCAACTCTTCATCCCCATGACTGGATTACTGGCTGTTTGTATTTTTATTAATTTATTAGCTTTTTAAATGAGAGGTTTGTATTGGCATGGCGGTCTGCCTTCATTCCGGCCTCACCCTAATGCCCTCTACTGCATACCTGTCAAAACGCGTTGACAACCTTGCCCTCCTACTCCTTCATTGCATAGCGGTCATACCACTGCTTTCATTCAATATTCTTCCTGGATTACCTTTGTCCGAAGGAATACAAGTGCAGGCTCTGAGGAATGTACTTGTATCATGCTACATCCCGAACTCAGACTGACACATTTTTGAAGTTTGTCCCTGAGGACAAAGCTTTGCCAGAGGCTATGCCTATCTCACGGTCATCTATCATTGCTTTTGATAAAGCCCTCTTCTATGCAAACAAGCTGTATTCTTTAGAGAAGCTCCATCAGTCAATACTCTCTAGAAAAACAAGTTGACAAGGACCCAGAGAGTTGTGTTGCAAAGTGCCGACGTGATTGCAGAGCAGCCTCAGGATTCCTGGAATAAATTGTCTCCTCTTCATGCAACTCTGGCCAGAAGCTGGCTCGCTCCGCTGAGAAAATCTACTCATTAAACCTTGTGTTGGACCACGCAGAAGCTCAAATGTCTGCTTCACAATACCTGAGACGTGAAATAGATTTTTATGCGTGGTGAAAATGCATTGGTGACTGCACACAAGCTGCTGTTCCATCTTCATCACACCTGCACATCAGAAAGATACATGGCTCTTGCCGTTGAGACTTGAATGTAAAATTCTTTGCGGGGCCAGCAAGGCTCCATGCTTATTCAGTCAGTCATTATCCTCTTTTCATGGTCATGCTGTTAAATGAGGTGCATCAACGGTCTCTGATGGGCTCTTCCTATTTTTTCACGTAATTAAGCACTGGCTTCAATATATCATTGAAGCCACCATTATGACCCACCTTCGATTTGGATGTGCGTTTCAAAACACAACTCACCCAAGCTGTGTGATAGGCTAATCATAGCTGGAGTTACTTTGCATGGTTTGGATGACTCAAGTCTGATTTCTTGCTCCCACGTGGCATATTTTGGAATGGTTCATATCAGACTAAACAGTAATAAAACCACAAATGGAATCACATGCCCCCAGATCGGACCAGACATGTTTCAAAATCATATTTGAATTCAATTTCTGCCAAGCTGACAACAGCATTAAGATACAGAATGTGTACACAGTGATTATAAAAAGTGTACACGCCCCTGTTCAAATGCCACTTTTTTTAATATTTATATAAAATAAAAAAAAAGGGCCAGGCAAATCATTTAAAAACTTTTCCACTCTTAATGTGACCTACTTCTAAACAGCTCATCTAAAATAATATTTTTGAAAGGGGAAGTCAAACGCTTCAGAAATGCACCCTTCTGCCTAAGATCTTTGACCAATTTTAATCTTTCTGATGAATGCGTCAAATGCTCTCTGCAGATCATGGCTTGTGCTGTGAGATATGATTACAACAAAGACAGGAAAAGCCTACTGGAAAAGCTGCATTTTTTTGGGGAGGGGAGGCGTAATGAGAGGCACTTTAAATGTTAGCCGGTGTGTTAACTCCCATTTAACATTAGCTTAAATTTGATTGGTTATGTCTGAACAGAGCCACATCCCCAGTTTTAAGTTAGAAATGTGCACAAGCTTCCTCTCTTGAAATTCTTTAAGCCTTTCTGAAATGAGTCACATTAACGGTTTGTGCAAATTATTTATCTTGGTCTCATGTTTTCATAAAACAAAAATGTGCATTTGAACAGTGGCGTGTAGACTTTCTCTATCCATTGTGTCCATACCCTGTCAGTGTGAGCCTGCAAAGCCAATGACATCTACATGAGGGTGTTTTCCTAAGCAAACCACTCATGGTGAATCAAAACTACCCGCACAGAACACGTAGCTATACCCCACAGTCTATGTGGGAAAGCAATGAGAAGAAGGGCCCAAACCTGTTGGGATAGTCCTTGGAAGCAATTAGTTGGAAGAGACTTGAGACTCTTGAGGCTATTCAGTCAACTGGCGGGTAGACTCGCTATTCTTGTCGGTTTTATTTACAGTAGTGAAAGGATTTGGGGATATCGACTCTATCCCTGTGTGAATATAAACACAAGTCCCCTTCATCTTTTTGCTCCTTCATCTTATAAACAGTAATAGTGAGCTACCTCAACTTGTCAAAAAAATGTTTCTGGATAAGACAGGTGAAATCATCAAAAATTCAAGCACAGGATCTCATAGACTTGGCATCATATGATAAGTTTGGGACACAGAAATTTCCAGCTGGCGGATGCCGTATGGATCTCATTAATGCAGCGGGTATTTTTTTTTTTCATGTCAAGCCTCTGCAGCTTTAATTAAAAGTCACTCAGAATAGCAGTTCACACATGTCATTTTCTGTTTGAACGCCGGGTTGTAAGTAGGACACCCATTCCGCAGAACCTGGGAAAAACCGACGACCACTTCTCAGGGATTCCAAGAGCCCGTTGTGTCGCCATTGTCAGGTTGGGCACCTAATCTATAATTGGCATCCGTCATCTTGTAGATAAAAAAAATACACCTCATATGTAGCTGCAGCATCTCGGATGAAAGAAGCAGTCATTGGGAAGTGTTCTTTTGCGAGTTGCCGCATTCACAAGGTGTGCATGTTTTTGCCAAGCATGTCTTTGTGAGAAACATTCTTTTCCCAATGTCCTTTTAGAGTTTTACACAAAGGTAAGTTTTCCTTTATGTAAGAAAAACGAATGTTTTTTGAGCAGGCTGTTTCATTATCGCCTCTTCCTTTCATTGCTCCTAATTCAAAAGCTTGTAGAACTGATGTTGCTGTCAACAGCAAAGACATAAATGAATGTCACTTCCAAAAAAAGAAATAAATAAGACCCGTTGCAAGAGCCATTGCCTGGTGATCATTTGCTCAGCTTTTGGAGGCTAATGTAAATTCAGATTTCTGTTCATTTCCAACTTCATTGCCTTTCTGGTCCATTTAGCCGATGGACATATTGCCCATCCCACCTGAAGTCTTCTTCAGACAGCTCAGATTGACCCACAGAAGTCTTCTTCATCATGTCCAATTTGCCAGCCATGGCCAGCTAACTAATTATATTTCATGAGCTGACCTGTCTGAGTTTCAGTCTGATGTGGGCGCTTGATTAGCCTCCTGCTTTTATCACCTCAGAGTCTTCAATGTTGTTATCACACTTTCTGCTGACAGCTGCGGTACTTCAAGGTTGCACACTGCAGTACAGCCGCATAAATTTCACATTGATGTCAAAAGAGTTCGAGAAGCGCTTCTCAAGTGTCGGTCAAGATTTCTGCACTTGGAAAAGCTGAGAAAGGACTTCATAAATCACATTCCACACACCAGTGTTTTTATATTTCAACATGCCTGATATGTAACATAATGATGTGCTTTGTGTGAGAGGCAGCCAAAAAAGTACTCACCCTAAAAAACTCTTTAGTGGAACCTGAGTCCAGAGTGCCATATGCTATCTCTGTCTGCTTTGCCAGATCCTCAGCGCTCTCTATAGGAGAGACCATCCTCTCCACCGTCAAGAAAGCAGCCAGGTTGGCTGTGTAGGATGAGATGATGATGAGGGTGAAGAACCACCACACACCACCGACTATACGGCCTGAGAGAGACCTAATTGCAGGTTGTCCGTGGCATGGAAAACAGAAAGAAATTATGAAACAGTCAAGGTGAGTATTCCTGTCATGGCCCAAAAAAAGCTTTCCCATTTCATATATCTCTTAATGAATTAATTCATCAGGGGTTAGGCTGTATACCTTAATTCCCCTTGAAACTTAATTTTATATATCGTCGCCAATATGTCGAACAACTGTGCTTTCAACTTTGCGGCCCTGTTCTGCCCCAGCGTGACTCTGCTGCAGTGCGCAGAAAGATACGTTTGCATGGATTGTTGTATGAAAAAGAGAGTGTAGCCGTAACCCTATCCAACACCAATTTAGCTGAGCAAACATTGTGAGCCACGTTTTATTTTCAGGATGAATGTAATCAAATTCCAAGAGGAACTTCTTCACCACAAAGTCATCAGGCTAATTCTGGATATATTTTCATCCTATTTTATTTTTTTTCTGTAGGGCGGTCAATACTTATGTCCATATTGTACCCCGGTTAAAGGTCGGTTAATCAGTTACATCCCTTTCAATTCTTTAGTTGATTTGGGTTTAGGTTTTGGGAAAAGACGATGCCTGGCAATCTGTATATATTCCATCATTACTAACCCGAACCCCCTTCAATTTAAAATGTTGCGCCACTGACCCACCTTGGGGAGATGTCACAGCCCTGCTGCATGAAGGCGCCCAGAGAAAACCAAAGAGAATTGAAGATTCCAAAGTCATTGGGAGGATCAGGGGGCATCTGAGGATCTTTGGTCTCATCCTGTTCCTCAAGGTTCCATTCGTAAGGACTGAACCGACTGACCAGGAACAGAACCACGCTCACCCCAATATAGGCAAACACTATACACATCCAGATCTCATAGGCCAGTGGGTCCAGGAAGGAGAAAACGCCGGGCTTGGACTTTTGCGGCTTCTTTATCATAATGGAGATGCCCAAACTCATAAATGGCTTGGAAAAGTCTATCACCTCCTCTCGAACCAGAGTAATGGTGAGAGGTGCAACAGCTATATCTGCTCTCTGGAAACAGGAACACGCACAGTGATCATTAGTTATGACCTGCATGAAATGTCACGTGTGCACATGTCAATTGCTGCAGCTGAAAACTTGTAAGTAGAGGAGAGCGTTATCACACATTTTACATCATTTATCAAATACAAAACAGAAGAACAGACATCTTAAGGCAGGCTGCAAAACACACAAAGGAAAGTAATACTTTTCCACGGCCTATACATTTGAAAGTAAAAAAACAAACAAACAAAACAAAACAATCAAAGTCAAGTTCATTTGGTAAGAAGAAAACAGACATTGCACTGTAAAAACAACTAACAACAAAATCTACAGTACTGAATAGATGTTTGAGTTAGCCAAATGTAAGCGTTACAGTTTCTCCGGGCACGTGTCCTAGTGCAACTTGACTCAGCTTTAATTTTATGATTATATTTAAATTATATAAGATTTTGGTCTTTGGATTTCATGAACCCATATTGCTTAATCAATAGCCAAGCTAAGGAATGTTTAGTTTCCCTAAATTAGAAGAGATCAGTGACTACATGGCATTTAATGTTGATTGTAAATTTAACAAGTGTTTTAGTCGAATGACACTGACATCACACTAACTTGACATTCGAAGAGTTCATCACTCATACTGTACCTAATGTTTCTAATGTCCCTTGGCAAATTTGATTGTTGTATAAAGAAGCTATCTTATCATTTGGGCTTGCCACCTGTAGTTAATATTAAATGCTAACATGCGTCACAAGGCACAGCTAACCGCAGCTCAATATTGGAAATTCAACACAAACAGCTCGCATCGCTCATGCTGAAACCAAAAATGGCCGACATGGCGACCAAAATACAGTAATTAGCAATAGAAATTTGAGGTTAGGAGTTATCAAAATTGAAACAAGGCAGTATTTAAGCAATTCATAAAAACTATAGTTCTTTAATTCATGCAAATAATAATTTTAACAACGACTGTTTTAATTACTTGATTTCACTTACAACTATGGCAAGCCATATCTAAACAGTGCTAAACGATTTAAGAAAAGAACGTAAGCTATCAAAATAAAGTAGCTTTCCTTTTCTTACACATTATTTAAGAGAAAAAAAAGCACCGCTTTACAGTCTGTTTAGTCCTAGTACTGCACAGAACTGACATTGGGTTTGGAAATTGTCAAGCTATTAGCGTGTGGCAGGCTGAAAATGTTTACAAGGTCAACTGTGAAGGAGCAAAAATGGACCCAATAAATACCAATGTTTTCTTTCCCCTGTCAACGCAGTTTTGTGAAGGGCTAAAACCATTTAATCCTTGTGCAGGCATAAACAGCACTCAATCAATGGACGGGGAAACAAAGCAATAGCAGCCTCAGGCCTAACCTTTGAAAGACAACTGGAATCTAATTAATTTAACAGTCAAAAGGTCAGAATGTACACAACTATTAGTCTCGGCCCACCTGCTGTAAAATTATGGGCTGGTAAAGACTCGACGGTGTTGTGAAAGATCTATTTGTCACTCTCTATTCACAGGAGTTGGAGTTTTCCCATTTGAGAGATGATTTGGAGAGTGCAGCACACCAAACCAAGCAATCTAGAAGGCCGATGGTTGGAAAATTGAACAGATGAGGAAGCAAAACCCTGATGCATTTTCTGTTCGGCTCCAATTCAATTTGCACAATGACTCACGCACGGAGAGGCGTTCAAGGTACTGTTGGCGTTGTGAGAGCCTGAGCTCTGTCAGACTTGAAACATGGCGTGACCATTTGCTAAAGTGCGAGCCTCAACCTTTATAGAGTACAACGCATATGGATCTTGTTGTCTCTAACCACGAGTCACCAATTAAGTGTTGATTTTGTCAGCTGTGATTTTACAATGTGGCATATTCATCATACACATCAAACACTGAACACAATTACACAGTCACTTCAAAGGGACACAATCCATCTCCCATTGAAGTGATTACACAGTGTTTGCCATATGGACTCATTGTTTTCGTGTACTTACCTCGCTTTCGCCTGCAAGAAAGGGAGATTTGTAGGCTAAGCAAGACGGAATAATTGCAGTGAACAGCACTGAGAAATGATTTCATTTTCTCCGTCTCAAGATGATCACCAACCCTCGCATGCTTGAGGTTGCACTGGACAAATTCCCTTAAGGCACTGCGGGCGGCATTAAGACTTTGGGGTGGGCAATAGCCGATGAGTTGTTGGTGATCAGCTTAAGACAGAAAAATGAGATCTCCTCTCATGTTGAAGTTCCTTGCAAACTGCCATGTAATCAGTGAAAAACGAGGCTCCCAGTACTCACCCCATAGACCAGTTCACCCACCATCCCGTTCCACGCCTTGGTCTCGGGGTCTCGGGCTCCATACTTCCCATCCATTACTATAGACAGTTTGTACTTAATTCCAACATGTTTGGCAATCTCAGATGCTAAATCGACGCAGTAGCCTTCATATCTGTCATTCCCCTCCAGATGCATATAATTTTTCTTGTACATCACGTACGGAGCTTCCTGTTGGTTCAAACACACGCTGGTTTACTGGCCGCTTGGCACACATTCAGTTAAATACACAGCATCATACAAGCATGCGCTCATTTGAACCCGTGCGCTCACACTGGTGCACAGATTTAAGATACTACGTACTCGACGAGTTGCTAGATACACGCCCATGCAGTCATGCAGAAAGAGATGATGCTCATATAAGTTCTAATAACAGCAGCGTGATGGCATGGACACGCAGCTTTTATCAAGAACATGGAAGCCACTGAGCCCAATGAGCCCAACCCAATTTGAGCCCAAGGGTGCGACACACCTGTGGAACCTTAAGGAGGAGTGAAGGAAGGGAAAACATACCGGACTTAAACCGTTTCCACCAACTGATACTGCATTTTATCGCACCAAAGTATCCCAAAATGTTTGACCTGAACTATGCTGCTTTCAGTCACACATTCTTGGTTGTAGTGCCATGCTTTTATGGGGGTGTACACTGCTATCTGGGTATAGGTAGACAGATACTTGACCACGGTCTTCTGTATGTTTCTTGTTTGCGATGCAGTGTATTGTGTTGTGGAAGGATGGTATGTTATGGTGTTGTGCGATGATGTTATGCTATTAACGTACTGTCACTGATGCAGCTTACACTTTGTTTTATGCATCCCTCAGTTGCAATGTAAGTCTGATAAGGAATTACAGATACGAAACGTGTCACGGCAGAACAACCCGAGCGGTATCACTTGGAGGAAAACTGTCTTTTGGGTGCGTTTACACAACAGTGGAAATGTTTTGGCTTTCGGTTCTTCTTGCACAGGTGGTCAAAAAGATGCCCAACTGAAAATAAATGCATGCCTCGGCAAAGCTGGAAACGTCTATGTTTGTAAATAAATAATTTCTGATCTTGGCCCTCACTGTTTTTTGAATCTCTTTTCTCAGCATTTGCGTTGTTTGAGCAAACAGCCAAGACGGAACAACTTTTAACTGTTTTGTGTTAAAACCAGTGTTGTGTAAATGGCCCTTACTATGAACGAAGGGAGGAGTACAGAGAGGCATAATGGGCTGGGGAGTCATTGGATAGGCAAGGTCAGCAAAGTGGTGGGTGAGGATGGGAATGGGGATGGGCTTCACAAGTAAATGCTAGTGACAGGAGAGAGATCAGAGTGCCCAATCTTATTTCAACATATTCAAGCTCATTGCACTAGCGCGCACTTAAAGGCTGTTCCATTCCAAGAAATAATAAAAGAAAATCAATACAAAAGTAAACAAAAATGAAATAAAATAAGCTGTAGCTTTCCAGGGCGGGGGGAATGCAAAATCACTCCCAGTATGAAGGAATCAGAGGAGCAGTGTGCTGGGTTTTCATCTCATTTTCAAAATGCTGGTGCAGCTTATCTTTTCTCTTCCCCAGCACATCATCATTAACAAACAATAGGGCTGCTCAGGAGAGCGGGCATCGTCATTACAGCCGCACGCAATTAGAGTGCAAGTTGGAAAGAAATGGTTCGTTTGTTCAGTGCTGAACACATCCCCTCACCTCAGAATCCGTCAAGCCTTCCCTCCGGTTAACTCATCTTATCTTCCAACCGTATTTCTCAACTTGAGATTTCCTCCTCCTGAGTGCTGCACTTGATTCCAAATATGTGCTTTTCATTTCCATGCATTTATCTCTCACAGTTTTGAACGATAGTCACTGGTTACGATATTAGTATAGAATTACCCAATGGAAGTTCAACACAGAACAAATGGAAGGAGCAATTGAAGGAAAATAACAAGGAAAAATACCACAACTTCCTACTATTTAGCTTTTCCCATCTTTGGAAAAAAAAAACGTCATTATCATCCTGACGTCAATCCTTCGGCCAGTCGATCCCAAGTGTCAGAGAACATTTACTTGATGAGGACAGACAGGTCTACTTACGTATGTAACTGATGGAGTCAACCATTACTATTGATACCATTATTGTGATGTCACTGCTACGACAGGCCACTGAAGTATGAACAATCAAAATGCTTTGACACCCACACGGATACAGTTGAAACACTCCCCCGTCGCGGGCCGACTGTTTCAACATGTAGTGAGTGGATGGAAAGCAACACAAAAAAGATGTGGTTCTACCCGCCCAGGACAGAATGTATCACTCATTGGCAATCAACACCATGACCTTGAGTGGCAGAATACGTGAAACATTTCAAACAATTTGGAAAGTGTACCATAATAGTAGTGACCACAATCGTTCGGTTTTCCACTGAGGAGTCGTTGGTGACCTGCGGGTCCATTATATTTACAAAGCGTGTGAACTCGTTCCAGTACCCGATCTGTAAAAAGAGAATTTGGGTTAGTGCTGCTCTAGTTACAAATGAGGATGAAAAACAAACCTGGCAATTATCCCAATCTGAAAATGAAGAAGATAACAAAAATAATCGTACAGCAGAGATAAGGTTTTGAAATGATGGGACTATCATCATCAACTATTTATAGTTTATATATATTTATTTATTTATTGGGGGGGTTAATATAGGAAAATGGGCAAACTACTGCACAGTGGCAAGAGTCATTCTTATGACCAAACAAGCAATTGTAATGTGGAGAAACCGAGTTTGTGGGGGTATTTGGGGAGGAATGAAGAATGTCAATCTTGATTGCCACAACAGCTTGAAACACACAAAGTGGAGTTAGGATGCAAACAGCAAACGTTAATATAAAAACACAACAAAGGTTCAAAATGAGTGGAAGTGAAAATAATCACACGTGAAGTAGTATTTGCATCTTGTTAAAAAAGCAACTTGAATGTTAAAAACAGCTTAATTTTGGAGGTATTATTTGGTAATTTTTTGTGGGTTTTAAAGGCTCCATTTAAAAGAAAAATCAAAACGTTGCTCCTAAAAATGCATGTATGCAGTAATACATAATAACTCATCAAGGCAATATGAAACCACATCAATTGTATTTTCATACGGTCTAAATCTATAATCATGAATTCAGTATGGTCCTTAGAGTACTTCAGGAAAAATGTAAATGTTGCCTTTCACAGAAAAAAAAAAAAAAAAAAACAGTTCCCCATGCCTGGTTTAGGCCATAATGACCATGGTGCCGAGTTCTTTGAAACAGTGAATTTCCCAGAAGGCTACAGCATATACCATCAAATAAACAAATGAGAAGAATGTTAAAATGTGAGTGGTGCAGTGATGTAACTAATTATCATGTACATGAAAATACGTGATTCATTTTAAAAATCTCCCGTGGGTTTTTTTTATTTTATTTACTTATTTATTTTTCAATCCAGTGCTGCCTTTGAATTGCTTTTCTGCAGTAGAGAAGAAAATGGCAGACAAGTTAAATCCCTCCCAGGTTTGATGGTAAATAATTGATATTCAAGCCTGTGAACTGCATATATGCTTAATAATTTAGCATATAATTCCAGTGGCTCTACAGTTTCTTCAGCGAAGCCCTGTCGTAATAGTTACTCTGAATTCTGCTGTACAGATGCTTAACTCACACCAACGTCAAGTGTTTGTTTGCCCGTCTGAAATAATGGCTCCTCTGGCTCACGATGAAACGCCTTGCATATGTTGCTGCCAGTCTTCTAACTGTTGCTGGCTCTGATTTTCACATTCGCATCTGGCCTCCATTTTTTTTTTTTTTTTCTCCCTGTCAGATCTTTAAATATTTGGGCCAGGCAGGTGTTACAAAGAAGGAGGAAAACATTCACACACTGAGTGGAGGAGCCAGAATGGAGCAAAGTTTTGCTGCGGCTGTTGAGAATGTGTTGTTGGTTATTTCCACGCCGTTCGAAACCTCAAATTGTTTCGTCCTTCCTGTCTGCATGCTCATGGGATGCGAGTTGTGGAATGAGAGTCGTGTCATGGAGCGCTGCTCCAGAGGCAAAGTCCTGATTTCACCCTGAGTGGCTGGGACACATATCAGCCCCATACATCATTCGTGACAGTGGCAGCTTGCAGGCCTCCTCCTCTCACTGCCGCTGGGCTGACTTGGCCTCCCGCTCCTGACAAACTGCTGCCCAGCTTGTCTTCGATGCGCTCGCTGCCTCACACTCACCCTGTGACCCCAACCTTCCACCCCCCAACCCCACTCTCGTAACCCCCACTGGATCCGTGCTCTCGGCTGCCTTTTTAGCTGTAAGGGTAGCGTGATGCTAATTGAAGTGTGAGTTTGGTAGGCCTGAAAGGCCGGCGGTGTAATCATATGTCAGATCGGCCCCGATCACACTCACGAGAAAATCACAGCTGTCTCTTGGAACTGGGTGAGGTTATGAAATAAAGCCAGAGGTCATTATATGCTATAATGTGAACGCACGACTGGGAATTACCATTTCCAAGGCGAGCGGGAGAAATTCTCAGATCTCTTTTGCAGTAATTGGTTATTTGAATGGTAATTACTGCCAGGAGAGGGCCAGAAATCATACCTGCACGATCCCATGACATGGGAATACTCTTTCATCTTTCATGATGGGACACTTTTAGCAGTCTAATCACAGGCTGGGGGTGATTTGTGTGCCTTCTAACACTCGCCATAGCTCAGCAGAGCTGCTATCCAATGGAGATAGACAAGGGAAGACTGCTGCTATTCTTCTGACACTTAGAGCCCTTAGCATTGAATAAATGGAGGGAATGGCTCATTCGTCACACAGTCTTCCAGGACAATACATGTGAATGGTTAAGCATACTCAAACATGTGGGCAACATTCATCGAGTTCAGTTTGAAAGTTACATGTCAGCCACTTCATTTAGCCACCAACCCTTTGTAGGCAATTTGGCGTGTTTTGATTAGGGGTGTGGATAACCATTCAATTCATTTACTGAGTAGAAATGTGTTTTGATTAATCACATGTTGATGCAACTGAGTCAAAATAGAGTGGAGTACTTAAGAAAAAAATTACCCTCACTTCATGTTATACTAGATGTGTTCCTCAAGGTTCTGTTGCCTTGCCGCTTCTGTTCATAAATCCATTTTTATTGCAACTGCACTATCAACCGGCTGATTGTTTTCAGGAAATCAAATCCTGGTTTCCACAAAACTAATTAAAGTGAAATGCTTTGTATTGCTACATAATCTGATCTGTGTTTTTCCCTCCAAGGTGAGTTTTCTCCAAGTTAGCAGTTTAGTAACGCTGCATGCCTTTCCTTTGTTTTGCATTTTTTGATTGTTAAAACTGTGTTATTGTTGACCCATAAGACCTAGTAAGCCGATGGTGGCATTTCCTCTTTGAGTGTTTAAAATCTTTTGTATTCTTTTTAAATGAAGACATCTACGTACTTTGTTTTTTTTCTATTTGTAAGTATTATTAATGAGCAAGAAAAAAAAGCATTATCTTATTTGGAATGATGAAGGCCTTTGTTCTTACCTTCCTTGGCCCACCTATTTTCATCTCATACACATCTATGGTGTAGTTGGTTCGACGGCCATAGTTGTCAAACTGGATGTTGCCAGTCATCCCCTTCACTTGGACCTGTCATGTCACACGCACGCGCACACACACACACACACACACACACACACACACACACACACACACACACACACACACACACACACACACACACACACAGAGATCACTTTGCATATACAGCCGGTATTATAGTGCTCATGTCCCCGGAGCTACTGGGGTGTGCAGTCTGTTAATCAAATGATGAACTGGATTCATTTTAATAAAAGATGTAGTTTTATGGTAATGAGGGTCTGAATTTGAGTGAGCCCCGCACAAAGATATCTGGCGGCGGCGGCGGCAGCAGAACAGCTCCACGCTCGCTTTCCTTCTCTGTCACTTTCCATCTTTATCTCGCTCTGGTTCGCTATCTCTGCTTCGCTTCTTCCGGCCTGATTCACCACTCATTCGTTTGCCCCTCTCGCCCGCCATCTTCCTCTTGGTCTTATCTTTCCTTCCCTACCGTTTTGAGAGCTCTCTCGATATCGATGCCTTGGCTCCAAGGGACGGCGGGATTGGCAAGGCAGTCTCCGGCGCTGCCACGGCGAGAGACGTCCACACGTTGGCGCCGCAGGTAGCGGAAGGCCTCTGCTATCACCAGGATGGCATCGTGTGTCAGCGCTGATGTGTACTGCAATCAAAGAATAAAAAACAAGCGGAGCACAGCGAGCTGGGATTACTGATTTTGAACTTTGCATTGGCATAGAAGGAGAGCAGTTTTCTTTCCCACACAACAATTAGGAAAACTTGAGATGCGTGAGGCCCACTGGCGAAGGGCTTCCCCGTCATGTTATGTCTTTGTCATTTGGCTCAGAGGACTCCCAAGGGAGGTGATGGAACAAAAAAGTTGCTGGTTTGACTCCCACTTCCCTTTCATCCAACTGAACTATCTTTTAGCAAGTTACTCAGTTGCTGAATTAGCATCTGGGGTCAGACTAGATGACCTTTGAGCACTCTGAAGCTACACGAGTACAACATAAATGCATTTACCTCAGCAATCTGATCAGACAGATTTGATTAGAACTTCTAGTCATATGGTAAGAATTTCAAAACATTTCGTGCATAATTTGCATGAGGCTAGCACATCAATATTGGCTTTTATTCCCCATGCACGTCCCCTTTAACTTAGTCTGACCTTTTCAACAGTGACGGCTTGGGCAACTAGTTTCGTTTTTTTGGTGGGGGGGGGGGGACTGCAGCATGACAAAATCTAATTAGATGCAATTCAAAATCCATTTCTTTCTCGCTCATTGTTTAATTAGATGTAAATTGAAGCTACGATATATCCTTGCTCTGCACTGCTTATCGATATATTGATTGTTGGGGTGGAGGGGTAATGCAAAGTAGAGGAAGTAAAGAGCAGGAATGACAAAGGCAAACAGGATGAGCAGAAAGAAAAAAAAACACGACAGAATTCAGAGTGGGTGATCATCTTACTTTGCATGCACAGTCAAAGGCCTTCCAATCAAAGTACCTTCAGAGGAGCATTCCGGGCTTCTGGGAATTCTCTTTCATCTAGGCGCTCCCAGCGCTGCATAAACTGCTGCACAATGGGGTTCTCAGGGTTGACTATCTGAAACCCTGAAATGTTGGCTCCTCCGGTAAAGACTTTGTCCAAACTCACGTTAGAAAATCCCTGAGATGAGAAAGGGGGGAAAGGGGATTGGCAAAAACTTGTGAAACAAACATTTTTAATTTTGTTTTTCCCTTGAATAAGGCTTGAGGCGATACCCTACAAAAATAAATGTGTTATTTTGGCAGTGCACAAGGTGCATTTGATTAACAAAGAGTGCTCTAGCCAGGGGGAAAGTAACATATTTGCTCATTTTAAATTTGGTTGGAACTTGAAGCCAGATAAACACCATTCCATCAGAGACTTAAGTTAGTGGACTGCCAGATGTTAAATATTTTTAATTCATTTGTTGTCTTCAAGGGGCGGCACGGTGGTCGACTGGTTAGCACACATGCTTCCCAGTGCAGAGACACAGGGCTCAATTTCGGCTTCAGTTCTTCCTGTGTGGAGTTTGCATGTTTCTTTAAGTGATTTATATCCAATAGCTCTATACCTACATGAGTGTACTTCCACCGTTGTTATCATTTGACTGTGGGTGTTTTTTGTTGTTGTTGTTTGTTCATCGTCAACCCATGTTGGGTAAACGCAATCTTAAGTTGTTGATCCTGGAATTTACATTGCATTTGCGTCTTTAAATGGCAGGCATAGCGGTACCAGTGTCGTGCATACAAAATGAGAGGTGCTGCAGAGAACTTTTCCGCTTGTGTAAACAGTTTTGAAATGGCAGAAACAAAATTAATGTGGGGTATCGTGTATTGAGCAATGTTAACCTAGGAGCTTCAGAACAATTTAAGGGCTCACTTGGAATCAGTCACAAGAAGGAGTCATGCCATATGACTAATGACAAAAGTCTTTTCAACCCTGCATTTCCATGTGTCTGGGTCATTTGGGATTTCAGCACACTATGACAAAGAATTACTTTAATAACACTGTTTTTTTATGCTCTCCGGACTTTTATGTTGATCCCAGTTAAATATGTTTCCATGTTATATCTTAAGGGTTTGTTTGCTGCACTTCATATCCTCTGCTCTGTGCTGTGTGTGCGCACACTCTGTACAAAATCAAAATACATCTTACGGGTAATACGCCTTGAGCACACTCTGACAATGAGTGACACAGCCACCTATTGTCATAAATGCATGATGATACTTTATTCTTCAAAGTTGTATGGCAAAGAAAAATGTAGGATCCCAGGGATCCCCGCCGACATTGCACCGCTGCCTCTCCTCCCAGAGGGAGGACTGCTTGACGCTGTAGTCACATTGGCTGATTTGGAAGAGGCCTGGTTGAGTCACATCAAGAATTATAAACCAGTTATCCAAAAAATAAATAAATAAAATAATGTTTTAAAATCTGATCAAATGTCCTGTAGCCATGACCTGGACTTTTTAAGGTGAAGTTATGGTTTTGTAAGTGCAGCATTGTTTGTGAGGACAGCAAACGCACATTAATAGTCTGGAAAAATGTGAGTGGGATCACTCAACTTGGTGCAAGTGAACATTTCTCATACCTGAGTGAGTGGGCTGCAGGCAAAAGGCTGTCTGCCACAGGCAATTGAAAATGTTTACTGCTATTTTCTATTGCCTGTTGGGCTATTTATATTGCACACTCACATTTATTAGGACTTAAGCAATATTGTCTTGCGACCATATTGGGACTGATCAGATAGTGGGTAAAATCCAGACGATTTAATGCAAAAGCCTAATGTGTTTTGGGTGTGTGCCATTAAGAAACCTCAATGTCTGCATGCAGCAAAAGGCAGGTTCCACGCCCTGCAGCATCTCAATTACTACTTACAAGATTGGACAGAATGTAGTGGTAGCCACGACTGTTCTTCCCCTGGGCCACAACCTATTGGAGAACAACATGAGTACACTCAGCCATCCATGTCATGAAAAAATAAGCGACACATTATAAAAGTAGTGACACAAATAAAAAATGCAAATGCAGCAGTTCTCTCCAAGTACGCGGTCTTCTCCTGAAGGAAAATATTACCAATGGAAGAAGAAAAGATAAGTAGCAGAAATTAATTGAGGTGGCGCCGATAATGAGAGACAATCACGCAGAACATCTTTGACTCTTCCGCTCACTTTGAAGACTTTGTTCAGGAGCCAACGTTGGACAGAAAGGAGAACTAGAAGGGGAGAAAATGACATATTTAAAGCAATTTAAAATGAGACAGTGAGATGTACTGTGGATCCCGCTCTGCTTTGAAAATATCACACCTTTGCAGCATAAAAGCGCATTTCAACCCACGCAGCCTGTCTGAAAATAGTAAGTGCTGTTCTATGCCTTTCCATCACTCTGCTACCAATCATGCTGCTTTTATGCAACATTTTTCCCCCACTCTTGATTATTTTGTTGATCAGTCTGACAGTGTGATCCTAACACTCTTGCATAGCATGTATATGCATACCAGGCTGGACAAGAGCCATAAACGAAGATACAATACTGTGCATGACTTCGACAATGAGCAGAAACATGGCATCTGTCTTGGTTTTCTTTTGCCCTATGCAGATCCTGCAAGTTGACAGCAACCTTAGCATGTTAGCTTTCTTCTTGCTTTGTTGAGAGAATTGCCGAACAATTAAACAAGATATGTACTAGAAGCAATGGCACCCTTGACCATCACATGAACAGGAAAAGGAAATTAAGTTGCAGTTTGCTGCTATAACAGCTTACATTCTTTTTTGGTAGACTTTCTACAAGGGTATGTGGTTGAGGTTGAGCTCTTTTACACCAAACCCATGCATCCATCCATGACGTTATGGCACGGTTTCACCAAACTAGTTTACGACTTGGGCTGAAGCTTTTGAATATTTTGAGATTTGAATATCCAAATGAAATTTCAATCGAATAATCACTCGGATGAAAATAGAGATAAAATGGAAAAATATTTTTTGCTTGGTTAAAGATACACAAAACAAAAGAGACATTTCCACTGAATGATAAGCAGTCAACGGGTTTTCATTTTTAAATAATCAACATTTTATACTGTACTTAATTTTAAACTAATTTCCTCTCCAGAAAAGTGTGAGAATGTAGATAAATCTCTCCCTATAAATTGTGGTCTATGAGACAAAGTGACGTCAGAACAACGTTAGCGATTTTGCAGCTAAAACAACACACTAGAGCAGGGGTGCCCATTACGTCGATCGCGATTGACCGGTAGATCGCGGACTAGTCCCAAGTCGATCGCGATAGGTATAGAGGAGGAAAAAAAAAACAACAAAAAAAACAAAACTACCATTTGTGTCTTTGTGGATGTTCGTAATATATTTGTTTGTGTTAATGTACACTGCACCCTAATCATCCTATCAGTCTCATTTTCACAAAAAGTATTAAAAAAATAAAATAAAATAAAGCAGGTAAATCTTTAACCTACAGTGACCTGCGTCACCGGAAGTTTTTACCGCTCAGCAGTCTGCAATTGCAGCTTGTAATCAGAGCTGTTGCGCTATATTTTTTATCGTTATCATTATTCACATTCAGAGTTTGTTTCGTATACAATTCACCGAGAGCACGGGCAAAGAATAGGAATCTGGAGGGCCGAAGGAAGCACTTTAAAACGGTACGTGCAAGCTATGATAGTTAACAGGCTACAAAAGTGCGTCGCATGCCTCCGTGTCAGGCTGTTGCTCATCACGGCATGCGTGTGTATGTGCGTGCGCGGTAACGGGTCGATCGTGGGAGGTTGGTTGATCGATAAGTCGATCTTCGGTCCAAAAAGTTTGGGCATCTCTGCACTCGAGTAAGCCTGATTTATCAAAAAGTGATCAGTAGGAACGGCGTGACTATGTCAGGTTGTCAGCACCGTGTGCAGAGTCATTTAGGTCTATTAAGTTGAGCCCTGCGAGCTCGCTGTACAGCACAGTGTCAGCCTAATTGAGTCATTTTTTTAGCGCCCGTAATTAGCGACTGACCATTATTTCAGTGCAATGTTGATCTGTTGTCTTCAGTAGAAACAGTTTGTGATGGCAATGGAAGAGAGTAAAGTCAGCCAATACGCCGCGACACACGGCCGAAGTTACAGTCAAGATAAAAGCGAGCCTAGACATTGATTTCCACATATTATTTGCTAAGTAGGGTTTATTTCGAAGTTGGCCTTCTTGCTGACAATTTAAACATATGTAGGTACTCAGGGCAGAAAAGCTGCCTCAAGCATTTTTTTGTACCGAGGTACTCGAATTACTCAAGGACCGGTTTCAGCCTTATTTCAGACTGACAGATTAAGACACGATTCATAGCATTGTTGTTGGTAACTAGGTAACGAAAAAAGACAAAAAGAGTTTCGGACAAGGTAGGGAAAATTTCCTTGGAAGGAAGCATGCAAATTTGATTGGAGGAACATAGGCAAGCATAGCAAATGCTTATTTTTCTGTTTTGCGACTGAAGCATCCACCCACTCCAAAAGAGTAAATGGTAGAGTCCTGAGTTTCTTTTCATAAAGTCTTGCGTTACTCTCCATTGACCAAGAAGTAGCCTCCTCAGAAATTGACACAGAAATTCATGAAGTGACAAATGTTTTCACAGAGTTTAATCCTATTTGCTGACTGAGTAGCAACATAACCATTCTTCCCAACCCAGAAGAAAAAAGTAAGAACGTAGTCCCTCGTTTATCCTGGACGTTACATTCCAGAAGCCCCTATGATAGAAAAACTTCTGAGTAGCTTTATACAGAATACCAAAACAAACTATGCACGTGAGTTGCAGGTATTATTTTTGGCCACTAGAGGTCACCATCCTCAAGTTCTACTCTTGTATCTGTGACTTAGAATGATTATCCCTTTAAATGATGGGGTTTGGCCTGTTGAGTGACCTCAGACTCAGCAAATGCAAGTGTAGACCAGGGGCCTCTTTGGAATGTCACATCTAACCTATATGTCACCTTTCCTTCGATTCTGTTCATCATTAGGTCAAGGGGAGATGAAAAGATGCACTTTTTCAAATTAATTAGACTCCACTTTTCCTTGCAGACGTCATCGCGCAACAGCGACTATGCTAACGTCTCTACCTTGCGGACCTGCAAAATATTTGATTACCGTATTTTCCGCACTAAAAGGCGCACTGGATTATGAGGCGCACCTTCAATGAATGGCCTATTTTGTAATTTTTTTCATATATTGCACGCACTGGACTATAAGGCGCATCTACAATGCATCCACTAGATGGAGCTACAGGTACGTCTTTGTCCGTCTCCGTGCCTTCTCTTCTTCCGTTAGACTCCAGAGGCGTTCATGACCGCCTCCAAAAAATGTGAATTAATGATTACTTCAATTAAACTACGAAAATTAAAAATACAGTAACGCATCAAAAAAGAAAATCGCAAAATAAATTCTACAGCCCCCCGACAGAATTTATTTTGGCATTTCCTTGAGCGTAGCGGCAACAGAACGATCAGATGTAAGTAAATTGGAGGAGACTGGATTGTCTCAGAAGTGTTTGTTATTTATTCCTTTGTTGTGTACTGTATTCATAAATGAGGAAATCACAAAATCAATTCTGTCGTGGGGCTATAAAATTTATTTTGTGATTTCCTCGCTTGATTTTCTGTTTTGATGCATTATTTTCAATTTTCGTAGTTTCATTAAAGGAATCATTAATTTACATTTTTCCGAGGCGGTCATGAACGCATCTCGAGTCGAACGAAAGAAGAGAAGGCACGGATACATACCTGTATTTGTTGAGATTGTGAAAACCATTCATAAAGTGTGTCCTTTAAGTGTAAAATGATACATATTTAAAATATTCTATTTTATATAATTTTTAAAAATGTGCGATACGGTGAAACCACAAAAAGTGGATTGTCTTCCCATCTTACGACAAACTCCATGAACCAAATGGTGGCCTGCAATACATCCACGCAAATTGGTTTTGCTAAGGGCTCAGCCTTCGCGGACGTCTGTGCTCTACTGAATGCCCTTCCCGTATTGCTTTTGTTTTAGCGAATCAAAAAATCATTTGGATCATGACACTATCCTACAATCTTTTATCCAGAATGACATAATTTCACCTTCACTGTGCAAATTTTGATTTGACCTGTAAGCTCTGGAAAACAACAATTTAAAAGTGGCCACAGCTTTCATGGCGTACCCTTATCAACGTAACAAACCACCTCTCTTTTTAGAATCTGTCCACCTAGGACTTAACGTTAGGTTTTCCCGCAGAGCGGTGCGATTGGGGTGAGCACATTGTTCACTGTCAAGTCGTTTGGGAGGGTCAGTGGTGTGTGACAACTTCCCCATCGTCATGGCTTTAAACTCAAAGCACCGCAGGATGTCACACCGAAGTGGCTATCAGAGTGCCATCAGTGTGCATCTAATGGCTCTTTTATAATGACTCATCCCCTTTCCTCTGTAAATATTCACCTCTTTTTTGCTGGAATCCTGCATTTTATTGCCCTAACCTTGACTTTGGCCATAAGCCTCGTCACACCTGCCCTGGAGCGGACCAGCCAAAAGTTCCGCTCGCTGTCAGACTGGCTGTGGTGGCAGGCGACACCCTTGGCATGGAACACTCGTCCTGTCAACTTCTTTCATGAAAGACACAACTCACACTGACTTGTCTGTTTAAAAAAAAAAAAAAAAAAGAAAAAGAAAAGAAAAACAGGCAAGCAAAACACAACGACTATTGCAGGGAACCATATCGATTCTGTTAATGGAGTCAATGAGAAAACAATTCTCTTCTTTGTGCTTTCATTTGAGCATTGACTTGGTGTTATTGTCAAGGGGGAAAGATCAACATTCAATCCCTGAGAACACATGCAATTGTCATCTCCGCTTTAGCAAACAAAATGCAATTTTGCTCCTTTTTCCCTTAAAATTGATGTCGTTTTCCAAAGGAGAAAGCTC